CAAGATATTGATCTTTCACCTTCCTTTGTAATATTTTTGTCGACGAGAGATCCCACGGTAGAATTCCCACCGGATATTTGTTCTCGTGTTACCTTCGTCAACTTCACCGTCACTAGAAGTTCTTTACAAAGTCAATGTCTCAATCAAGTTTTGAAGGCCGAACGTCCGGACATCGACGAAAAGAGATCTGATTTGTTGAAACTTCAAGGAGAATTCCATTTGAGATTAAGACAACTCGAAAAGTCATTATTGCAAGCATTAAACGATGCCAAAGGCAAGATCCTTGATGATGATTCTGTCATAACGACTCTCGAGACATTGAAGCAAGAAGCTGCTGATATTAGTAAGAAAGTCGAAGAAACTGACAAAGTGATTGCAGAAATTGAGACTGTCTCTCAGCAATATATGCCATTGTCTCAAGCCTGTTCAAATATGTACTTCACAATGGATAGTCTCAATCAAGTACACTTCCTATATCAATATTCTTTAAAAATGTTTTTGGATATATTTACGTCTGTATTATCGCAAAATCCTAGATTAATTAATATATCGGATTATACACAAAGATTATCCGTTATTACCAGCGATCTATTCTCCGTTTGTTATGAACGAGTTGCTCGAGGAATGTTGCATACAGATAGATTAACTTTCGCTTTATTACTTTGCCGTATTCATCTAAAGGGCATAGCCACTGAATCGACTTACGACAGTGAATTCACGTTCTTCCTAAGAGGAAAAGAGGGTGTATTAAATATACGTGCACCACCGGTACCCTATTTAAGTTCGGAACAACAGGAAGCGATGATGCGTATAAGTATAAGACTTCCAGCTTTCAAAAAGCTTGCAGAGAAGATACAAGAGAATAGTGATTTCGCGGCATGGCTACAATCTCCAACGCCAGAGACTTGTGTTCCCAAACTTTGGGAAGAAGAAAAACCATTGTCACCTATTGGTACTGCTATGCATCAATTATTGATAATACAAGCGTTCCGACCAGATCGAGTAATCGCAGCTGCATCTTTAGTCGTGATATCTGCACTTGGAGAATCGTTTATGGCTGCAGCAGAAATAGAACTTGATTTTGCTTCCGTCGTAGAGAATCAACTTAAAGCGACCGTCCCAGCACTACTTTGTTCTGTGCCAGGATTCGATGCATCAAGTAGAGTCGACGATTTAGCTGCAGAATTGGGTAAACAAATAGCAAGCATTGCCATTGGTTCTGCCGAAGGTTTCAATCAAGCGGACAGAGCTATCAACATGGCTGTTAAAGCTGGTAGATGGGTAATATTGAAGAACGTACACCTGGCTCCGCAATGGTTGGTTCAGCTCGAAAAGAAACTCCACAGTCTGCAACCACATGCCAGTTTTCGTTTATTCTTAACGATGGAAATCAATCCAAAAGTGCCGGTGAATTTATTAAGAGCTGGTAGGATCTTTGTCTTTGAACCACCTCCTGGTATAAGAGCAAACTTACTTCGAACGTTCAGCACGGTACCGGCATCTCGTATGATGAAGGCACCTAACGAAAGAGCACGACTTTACTTCCTTCTTGCATGGTTCCATGCTATCGTACAAGAACGTCTTCGTTATGCTCCTTTGGGGTGGGCGAAGCATTATGAATTCAATGAGAGTGATCTTAGAGTTGCCTGTGATACACTCGATACTTGGATAGAAACCACAGCTATGGGTAGAACCAATTTACCACCAGAAAAGGTACCTTGGGATGCTTTGGTGACATTGCTATCTCAATGTATTTACGGTGGTAAAATCGATAACGATTACGATCAACGGCTCTTGACATCATTTTTACGAAAATTATTCACTCCACGATCATTCGAAGCTGACTTTGCGTTGGTTGCTAACGTAGACGGAGCACAAGGAAGTCCAAGACATATTACAATGCCAGACGGCACTAGACGAGATCATTTCCTTAAATGGATAGAATCCTTAGCCGATCGACAGACTCCTTCTTGGCTTGGTTTACCAAACAATGCTGAAAAAGTACTTTTAACGACCAGAGGAACCGATTTAATATCAAAGTTACTCAAAATGCAACAATTAGAGGATGAGGATGAATTGGCATATTCCAATGAGGAATCATTGGTTACTCCTAGAGAGGCAGAAGCAGATGGTCGTCCATCTTGGATGAGAACTTTACATAATTCAGCGTCCACGTGGTTGCAATTGTTGCCAAAGAATTTGCCAACTCTTAAAAGGACAGTGGAAAATATTAAAGATCCTCTCTATAGATATTTCGAAAGAGAAGTTAACAGTGGAGCTAAATTACTACAAGACGTTATTCATGACTTAGAAGATATTGTATTAATCTGTCAGGTATGCCAATCACGTTTGAAACCAATATAACTTATGATAAAACGATGATAAATAATTTATCTTTTGTGTTCAAAAGGGTGAAAAGAAACAGACAAATTATCACAGAACAATGTTGTCCGAACTTGTGAAAGGTATTTTACCAGGTGGTTGGAGAAGATATACCGTTCCACGAGGTTGTACTGTGATACAGTGGATCACTGATTTTAGTCATAGAGTATCCCAATTGCAAGAAGTTTCACGACTGGTTTCACAAGGTGGAGCGAAAGAGATCAAGGTATGTATTTCTTCTCTTTTCATTCATGTTATTCGTTTTATTAAGAATTCTAATACTGGTTTTTTTTTCATTTTTTATTTATTTATTTATTTATTTATTTTTTTTTTTTTTTTTTTATCAACAGAGTTTCCCTGTCTGGCTCGGTGGTTTATTAAATCCTGAAGCTTATATTACTGCGACACGGCAATGCATTGCACAGGCTAATAGTTGGTCTCTCGAAGAGTTGCAATTAGATGTAACGATTGGAGATGGAGATAATATAGCCACTGATGATTGTTCGTTCGCAGTGACTGGTCTGAAATTACAAGGAGCACAATGTAGAGATAATCAATTATATCTTACTTCCACTATTATGACAGATTTGCCAGTCACAATGTTAAGGTGGATTCGATCCTCTACCGAGGAAGCTAGAAAAGGCAAATTATCTTTACCAGTATATCTAAATAGTACTCGTACGGAATTACTTTTCACAGTTGATTTAAATATCGCTCCTAGTCAAGACCCGCACAGCTTTTACGAAAGAGGAGTAGCTGTGTTAACATCTACTGCTTTGAACTAATTTTAATTTATATTTTCTTTAGTTCAAATATCGCGTTTAGAAAACACTTTCGCTGTTATTATAAGCAACGATAATACAATTTATTTCAAATGATATATATATATATAGTTGTCTTAAAAGACAAAATAATAATACAAAAGCTTGTAACATTTTAATAATACTAATTATAATAATATAAAACATGTAAATTCCACGAAACCGTTGGATGTAACTTTAAACGTGCAAAAGATAAAACTATTTAATGCGCCTAGCGTTATTAAAGAAATAAAAACGTATTTATAAAAAAGAAAAAAGAAAAAAAAAGAAAAACGAAAAAAAAAGGCAATGTTTTAACAAAAAGGTTGTAATATATATATATTTCGCTTTTTTTTTATATACATTTCTTCTGCTGCTTTGGGAAATCATTTGCTCTAACAAAGTTACATTATGTTGCTCGGATGTAAGTAATAAAGTAACTATAATATTTATATCGATAATTGAATGGTATATTTAAAGAAGTGTATATGTATATACACCCCCACACACAATGAGATTGTATGTAGGGTATTTTTATTGAGCGTTGCAGCTGTTTTCTTTTTCTAAAGAATAAACAGTAACCGAATAATTTAGATTATAATCAATTTCACAGCTATGGCCTATTTGTAAAGTGAAATATGTAAGTTTTTTTTTTTTTAAATATGTTAGCTACTATACTTAATAGTTGTAAGATTTATTCCGTTAAAAAAATTATCAATATTTTAATAGAATTAAAAAAAAAAAAAAAAAAAAAAAAAAAAAAGAAAAAAAAATACACATTCATTTTAGAGAATGATTGAATTGCTGCATCACTTGAAAAGAATATCCTACCATTCAATAAGTCTCTATATTATCGCGACTCATTTGCTTTATTTATTTATTATAATATAAGTGTCTCTTATTTAATGTTTAAAAATATTAAAATGGGTTATGAATGTTGCAAGTTTTTTTACTATTTTCGCAATTATAGGTATTTAATAAATTAATAATTAATTGTGAAATATTATACTGATTGTAAAATTTTTATTTTGAAACATCCAATATATCCAATATATATTTATTTATTTATTAGGAAGAGCAACAACACACACAACTAGAAAAATTATAAAAGAACATAAAAACTTTATTATGGTCCATTATGTCAGGTATAGCAGTTACATTTATTTTATGAAAAGCTGATAGATTATTTATGATATTACACCACTATAAAGGAGTTATGTACTTAGCGATGCAAATTCTACGCGCTTCTGTACTTTTCCTATGAGAAAGTCTTGACTTGAAACGAAGGTCTCTCTTGTACGAGTGTATATTAATTTAATTACGATATGAATCTATTAAATCGGTTCAATTGTAATTGATGGAGAGTTTTCAAAGGAAATATATAATACATATTGAGTTGGACGGACTATACACTCGTAGACTCAAATATATATATATATATATATATATATATATATATATATATATTTATATATATATATTTATATATATAACAGGCTCTAAAAGATATATTTAATAAGTAGTTGATTGGCCCGCATTCTAAATTAAGTCATAAAATGCTATATATATTTACAGTAACGAATGTCTCCAAAAAAAAAAAAAAAAAAAAAAGGAAAGAAAAGAGAAGAAGAGATAAAGTAAATTATTATATTACAAGAAGATATCGTTTGTACGAGCTCATCTAAAATGCCAATTAGTAAGAAAACAGCATGATCCCAACTAAGTTGTAATCACGTGAAAAATAATATCTAAGTTCAACTGTATCTTTGCACAAACGAATGCGAATACTCTAAAGGCCCAGAGAAACTTGATTTTCCCTTTTTTTTTTTTTCTTTCTTTTTTTCTTTTTGCTCATAGAAATAAAGACTAGAATAATAATCTTTACGTCCAAGGAGCTTAGGCAGTAATTCGCTAAATTAATAATCTTTTTTTGAACACACATTTATATTTCATGAGCTAATTGAACATAAAAAAAACTATTAGATCCTTTTTTTTGTCTTTTTTTTTTTTTTTTCTTTTCTTTCTAACGATCGTCCAACATATAACTGAGAGCGGAATAAGAATGATTCGTACGTTGATTCGTAAATTATTTCAATGCGACGGGACACAATAAACGCGTTTGAAAAGAAAAAGAAATAAATACTACGAAGAGAACACGAATGAATTATAATCTCCTAAAGGAGAAAGATGCAGCGAGCGTGAATTAATTTACATGTAAGCGGTCCAGGTTTAGAACCGGAGAGAAGAATCCTTCAGAAAGAAAGTCGTCCAAAGGCAAAAATGATTTGTGATGAGAATGATAAAGGAGGAGAGGAGGATATTGCCATATAGCAAATAAAGCTCGAACGAATGAAGGAGGAGGGGGATACGTAGGTAAAGAGGAGGGGGAGGGCCGAAGTCTATATCACAGAAATGGAATTTTCCATTTCGTCCGCAGTCTTCTTGTCTTCGCGATCATCGTCGACGTGTTCGTTGGGGACTAGAGAGACGTCCTTCGGAAGGACCAAGGAGTCTTGACCGATCGGCGCAGCGGCCTCGACTAGATTCTGAACGGACACCGCCGCGGTCGGTTCATCTTGACAGAAGCTTCTACGTAGGGACTGTTGCGTTCGAGCTGTCCCCCTTCTGATACTACTTCGCAAAAGATTTGCCACATCGGCTGCCGTGAGATTCATGCTAGCAGAGGATAAAGAATTGCTATTGCTGACGTTACATCCTCTACTACGAGTTCCTCTCTCCAAAGTAGAATGAGTACGTTCCACGGTGATTCTTCTATTACCGTCTAACGAATCGATTCTAGTCATCCTATCGATGGTATTTGGCCTGTGTCTTTCACCAATACCAACTACAGTCGCTGATCTTCCATTGCGACCACTTCTAACGTTTGTTACTACAACATCTGGTCTAGACTCGTTGTTCATGTGTATCGAAACGTCTCGACCATGATTATTCTGATTCATTTCGACCAAGACGGTAGCATAATCCGGAGGTGGTGGTTGCAATGCTGGCCTTTGCCTAGGTGCACTAGTTTCTCCAAGAACATTAGCGATACGTCTGACGCTTCGTCGAAAACTTTGACGTAACATCTTTGCTATTCTCGCACCAGTTGCCGTCGTGTAACTAGGTGGTGGAGTATATTTTGGTGGTGGATCTTCGAAAGGTACATCGGTCGTGGTCGGTAAAATACCATTTCCATGAATACTGGTACTGGTATCATTACCAATTTGCGTATGAGTATCCGCGGGGTCGTCGGTTTCAAGAGCCGGACGATAAAGTAGCTGAATTCTCTGCGAACGAAATTATAACGAACGAATTTAATGTTAAATCATAATTGTCCATTGATGATAGAGTATTTTTATATTATTTATTTTTATCTCATCTCTACGAAAACTTACGCCATTGCACTGATCACAGTGACTTACGCTAACTTCCACTTGTTCGTTCTAATGTTAGCAATAACAAAGAGATCATTTGTTCGCTTTAGAAGATATATATATATATATATATAAATAAAATATATAAAATATATATATAAAAATAGATAGATAGATAGATAGATAGATCAAATATAAAGCAAGTTTAATAATATTATACTTACGTCGAATATATCAGGCGGACCATTATTGAGATATCGACAAGTTTGGATTATTGCCACAGCTGGGATCGTTAATATTGGAATCAATTGAATTGCCGCACCCAATTGCCTCGCCCACACAGCCCAATAATCTCTGCTCGTTCGACGATACGAATAGAGCTCTCGGAATCCGTTGTTTTTGAACACAGTAATACTGAGTACCTGTTAGATAATAGACAGATAATTAGTTTTACGAAACCACTCGATTGTTCGGTCTATTTTAAATGGCATTTAATTATAAGCGCGACCGTGTTAAACGATTAACAGTATTTTACTGCCACTTATAAATATTAAATATGCAAGCTCACTAACATACCATTAAAGTCACAGGTAGAATGACATTCCATGTGAAAGATAGAAGTGGACCAGCCCAATGTCTGAGACATCGTCCCGTAGGTGGAAATAATTCTGCAACTACGGCTTCGCCACTGTGCGGTCGTCCTCTTACCGCGAACACAGCACCGACTTGTACCAAGTACAGAACCATTATCCACCATGCCCCACCGACCGTATAGTCCAGATAATATACAACGTAAATGCCCAACTATAATGGAAGAAAAAAAAGAGAGAAACACAAAAATACCAGTGTCAGTACGATTATGCAATGGAAATTTTATCCTCGTAATCGATCGATTCAACCGGACTACATTTTCTTTCCTATTCCCTTTATACATAGATAAATATATATATAATATATGTTTTTTTTCCATTTTTTTTTCTTCTTTTTCGCTAGATAACTGATAGGATTACGACGATTCATAGAACTAAAGACGGCATCGAATCACTCGTTCTTATATCCTTCACTTGAATCTCAAAAAACATAACGTCATTCTTCGTATATCCCGAATATCTAGCCAAAGTTGTGTGAGGAATGAACATATACAAGCCGGACTCTTTATCAGGCTTTTCCTTCGTATCTTTTTTCTCACGTCTAACACTTTTCACAATCTTTCTGAGATCATTCGCAGGATTTTCTTGATCCTTCAATATTACAGTAGCTCGGAGAATACAAGGCCAATCTAACAGAGGATCCCACTTTCCGTTTTCGACTTTAAGGCATCCTATCACGTGACGATCTTTCCATTGACCTATACCGTTAAGAAACAATTCCATTCTAAGAGTATACCCATAATCTTTGTTCAAAAAAATTGGACTATAAATCGGACAATCGTCTTCCTTCGCTTCGTTTATCTTCTCTTTGTATCTATCAATTCGCCATAAAAGACGACCGTTAGTTGAGAAAGGTCCAAGTTCTCGTAAGCAACACTTGCATTCCCTATCACTATCTTCCAAAGTATTTACCTTTGAATTACTATCTTTGATAAGTTCCTCAATGTACTTCAAATTTTCTTTCGCCTGAAATCTCAAAGCTTTTATATCCTTTTGTTGTTCAATAGTCGTATGAAAAAGTTCACGTGTATTCTTGCCGGTCGAGTCAATTTTTTCACAAAGTTCTTCATACTTTTTCATCAGATCCTTCGAGTCCTTACACCTCATCTCAAGCTCTAATTTCAGATCATGAATCCTCTTTAATTGTTCCTGCCAGATCCCACTCACAAGTATACTCTCTTTAGCAATGAACGTCTTCAAATCGCTCAGATCCTTAGCCCAATCATCGAAGAGTTTCTCATGCTTCTTTTGTTCGTCATCCAAACCCGCCTGCAATAATTGCAATTGTTCCGATATCTTTTGAAAACTCATACAAGTACGTTGTTCCATTTTGTCACAACTCAATTCAAGTACGTTTAATCTCTGATCCAACGTGACATTGTTACGACGAGTCTCCTCCATCGATTCTATCGTATTTAAACGCATCATATCCAGGGCTTCGTGTTTACGATGTAAAATAGTAAAATTTTTCGACATTGTCTCCGTCAAACGTTTACGTTCCTTTTCTGCTTCATTGATAGCGCCACGTAACAATGTTAATATCGATAAAACCTTTTCCTTCCAAAGAGAATCACGTGGATCTACCTTGATCTCGCTACTTCTTTTCGATATTCTCTTAGAGCATGATCTCTCGTGTATCTGCATGTTTCTTCTCGGCACGTACACTCCACATTTATGAGGGCATTCCTCTAACACGGCACCACAATGTTTAACGTGTTCAGGCAAATATCTTTCTTCCAAAAATTCATTACAAAAATAACATGGCACGCTTCGACGTACCACAGCATGCGCATTGTTATTCATCTTTAATTTTAATACTAACGTCGCCGTAATACCGTTCGCGCTCGTGACACACCATCGAAGTGGAACACGCAAGCAAGCAACTGATAAAAACTATCTGAGCAAACGAAAGATCGTCTGATACGGCCTGATAAAGATGCCTCGTAAAGAGTTAACGATATCACCAACAATGGATGAGTTAAACATTACGATTCGTACTTGATATCGCTTAAGTACATTAATAGTTCATTCCTCGAAATAGCTTCGGTTAAGTCATATGATTATTTGTAATTTGTGTCTCATCGTGATGAGTAAAGATTAAAAAATTTCGGCTTATCTTTGGAAACTATCTTTAAATTCAACGCACCTGTGTGTATCTATTTTTTTTCTTCTTTTTTTTTCCCCCTCCCCTATAAAGTTATATTGTATATACCTCTGTTGCCATTGGTAAACCCAATATGTAAGCACAGGCGCAGCTAAAAAACGTGATAGTAGTCTCCCATAATTTCATCATCTTCGTGTTGATAGCCATTATACCGGTTATCACACAGTGCCATATCGCAAGCTATAACGTTAAAAATAAAAATGATAATAGAAAGACTCGTCTGCGATGAATAATAACATTGTATCACGTGTAATCTTTAATCACCTGTTGAGCTATTCCAAATAAAATGAGAATAAAGTAGAACAATATAGCCCAGAATGGTGAGACTTGCTCAGTCCCTAGCAACGCTAGAGTGGCAGGTACTAATTCAGTGGATAATCTCAATACTTGATATCCGGATTCGGTTGAAATATCAGCACCTGGTCGAGTAACTCGTTGACCAACCAAAAAAGATGCATGAGACATAAATCTTTCCGGTGTGCTAGTGTACCACGATGGTGCTGGTTGATTAACGAGTCGCATAAACGTATATCCTGATATTCTCTCTAAATATAAAAATATGAAAATATTAGATGCTGATATGTTGCATATATTTTCATAGAATTTATTAAAAGATTCCGAATATTTACCGAACGAACTAGTCGTGTAAATATATCCATGATGTCGGAGAATTTGTACACAGGTATTCGCTAAAAAGGCAGCGAGAAGTAAAACAACAAAAGTCAACACCACGACAAGACTGGTGTCTCTTTGTAAAAGATGTTTATGCTTGTTATGCGCTGCTATCTAAAATAAGGATATTTCAAGATAAGAAAAAAAGAAATATCGTCAAAATCTTTATTCCTATGATTAATGATTTTGATTTACCTGCATAGCAGCTGCCCCAAGTAAACCCCACGTAAGGAAAACCTCAGTGGAGGCAGCCACCCATGATTTACCGTTAATGAAAAATTCATTCCAAACAGTGGCAGGAAACAGCTGATGAATGGAACCAGGTGGTGTCAGCCCAAGTAATTTAGTACAGAGAATTAACGTACCAAACACAGGTACTAATGTAAAAACATATACCACCTTTCCATAAGATCTCAAACCTAAAAAAATATTAATCAAGAGTCGGAAAAAAAAATTTATGAATGATTTCTTTGACGTACCTTTACTTAACGATACAAATACGATCATCCAAACGACTGCCAAATTAAATGCAACTTGAAATTTCAATGTAACAATGCCAGGATCAGGTTCGTTCAAATGATGCCTTTGTAAAACAGCACCACTGAAGTAATCCGGAACCGTCTCGTATAATTTATAGGTAGTACTACTATTGTGCGTAGGTCTACTGTCTTCTCGATACAAGAGAAACGGTTCTGCCCATCGATACCTATCTTGCTTCGTGATAAACGAATCCCTAGAGAGTAATGATGATCTCGTTATTAAAAATAATCGATGAACTTTGATCTCACGTTAGCGTCGATGAGGTATCATCAAGAATTTTCTTTTCTTTTCTTCATCTTATTATTAACTAAAGAAACTGTCGATTCACCTGAAGTATACGAACATCCAAGATACACCCACTATACTGTAAATTCCAATGAACGCTTGTGCTGTTAGCAAAGCTATTCCAACTCCTTGAAATAGAGGTGAGATTTTCCACATGTCGACGGACCCAGTCGCTAATCTTTGACCGAGACATACTTGAAGCGTTAATAATGGTATTCCAAGTACTAGGGATAATATCAGAAACTGTACTATAAAGTTGGCTAGAAGCAAAAGGAAATTTACGATTACACATACATACATATATATGTATATATATATATATATATATATATATATATATATACACATTTATTTTTATCGATGACGACAATGGGATTTATTGAAGAAAGGAAGACACCGAAATGATCATTATCATCAACGAAAATCGATAACCATTTTTAAAGAGAGATACTCTTAAAGAAATGAAATGTAGCCTCTCTGCGGGAGGTACTTTGCTGATGTATGGTCAATTATAAAGAGAGAAAAAAAGAGAAACGGAGAGAGAAAGCGGAAGACCTTTAATTATCCGTTAAGGTACTTCTCTCTTATTCGACGTGGAATTTATTTATGATAACCTCTATTAATTACCAACTCCAACAATTTAAAAATAATACCAACAAGCCCCTATATATTTCATAATTGATCACTCACCTCCGAATTGTATACTAAGAATAGCGAATCTACTGATGTTGAACAGGCCAAGTGTACAACCAAGACAAGCCAAGGCTGGACTAAGAGCGTGTGGCCACCTGCCCAAAGGATTCTCATCTTCGTCGTCATCTTCACCCCTGTCAGCATCTCTGTCAACGCCCCTCTGTCTTTCGCATGTCCTAAAATATATTACGAAAGAAAGGTTTAACGTTTTTTTATTTCTCTTTATTTTCTTTTTTCTTTTCTTTTTTCCTTTTTTACCAATTTCAATGTTACAAATCGTGATAAAATTTATTATCGAGAGGATGAATCGATTTCTAATAGAACTGGGTCGAATGTAACATTATTGCGAATGTTACTTAGAGGCAAAGTTTATGGCTGATCTTTATCATGGTATTAGTACTTTATTTGCTTTTCTGTGTCGTACCGCACTCGAGAAAATCGATGAATGAAAAAGCATGAGAAAAGTAATGTATATATATATTTTTTTTCTACATATATACATAAAAATCTTATGGTTAATAATCTTTATCGTTTTGTCTTCAAAGAGACACACCTTGGATGATCATGCTGTATAATAACAATATATAAGATTGAGGATCACAACATCTGTACCGTTATGGAGGGAATAGAAAGGTAAAATAGAAGACCAAGAGAGAGAGAGAGAGAGAGAGAGAGAGAGAAAGAGAGAGTAACATAACTTCTCTTATTCTCTCGGTTCCACCTTAAAGCACAAACCGACCTTGTTTTGCATGAGAAACACGGAAATTCAGTCTTCGTGGTCTGCGTATTACACGAGCTTCGTCGTGATCGCAACGTGACGTATCCCGACGATGATCATTGAATTATTCATTGTGCGAATGATAATATTTGACGAATGTTGAAGATAACGACTTAAAAAAAAAAAAAAAGCAAAAAAAAAAAAAAAAAAGAAAAAACAAAAAAAGAAAGCAATAAAAAAAAAAGAGAACAGAATAAAAAGGAAACGACAAAATATACCGCAACGAAAAATATATCTGACAGAAGAACAAACATGTCGAAAGTATAAAAACATTTTTAATGAACTAAAGGCGAATAGATCAATGATCTAAACTTTTTGTACGCTGATCACGTGACTCTTCGTTAATTTTTATCACGCATTCTCGTAAAATCCTATAACTACGAAATACGTGATAAAACTTTATATGCACTGTGGTAATAGTTATTTTGTATGATAAACATTAATGTATCTCGTCTTTCACCCTTTTTTTTTCTTTTTTTTTTTTCGTATTCTTCGTCGTTTTCTTTCTCATGACGATGAAAATGTCGAAACGCCGTGACACTGAAAAGAGTTTTCTTCAAATGTCACGTAGAAGTCATCAGATACGTAGTTATTACTTTCGCTTGCGTGATGCAATTAATTTATTTCTATGTATCGTTGATTCATGCTAGTTTTGATTAGGCTGATATATACTCGCAAAGAAAAATGTACTTTATCGATCGTGTGACTTTTTTAATTAATTCTGAAACAATACCTTTTAAGAGATCTTCATTTTCGAGTTCTCAAAATATCATAGGACAACCTAGAGAGTAACGAGTTTATCGATTAATCGATAAACTAGCCACCTCTAATGACCATCGGGCAGCCCTCCACACCTAATCTCACTTTACGATTAGAAACACGCGAGTGTAACGTGGGTTTCTCTCTATCGTCAATCATTAAATCTTGATTACAAAAATAAAAAAAAAAAAAAGGAGAGAGAAGGGAGAATGCTTCTTCTCTAGAAATCATAAAATATATTTGTTTTCGGTAAACTACGATATTTGCCTGAGGTCAAAGTAAATTTGAAATATTTATTAAATACATAGATAATATCTAGCACGTTTTGATTTTACATTTAGTTAACCTGGAATCGTGCGATATTCTGTTCGCAATATATTCCATGACACAGTAAAACGGAAATACTAATAACACATTGCCGTTTTTACAATTGTACACCGATGAAATATCGTTTTTTATGCATTATCATTTACTATCTATCGTGATTTATCTACTTCAAGGTTCGAACCAATGTTGAAAGAAGAAAAAAACGACAACAAAAAATAAAAAATAAAAAAAAGAAAAAAAGAAAAACAAAAAGAAAAAACCACGAGAATAATATCGATTCGAAAAATTTTAATTTGGATTTGTGAGTTCCTCGAAAAACTCTTCCCGAATGATAATAATTTAAAAATAACGATTATTCAATATTAATTGCTCAAGAATATAACTTAAAACATTTGACATTTTCTCAGATTTCATAGAATGATGTAAAGAAGCAAATAACGCTATGTCCCGTGACGCTAACTCAACAACGTGTTCCTTCGATCGATGATGTATTCATTACGAAGAGATTTCATCCGGAAAAGAAGTCGCGGACTTATGCATTCGAACAATAAAAACCCTCTTCTTCTCTCTGCCTATATTATTTCGAGCAGCTACCTAACTTACGTATTGATATAATTTCTCTTCGTTCCGTTAATAAAACGATTCACCATTGTTCCCATGTCTCCATGTCAATATTTATCGGTAAAGAAATCATTGAACAATTATTCTTCCACGCTTGAAAAATATTGATAAACGTTTTTTTTTTTTTATGATTTAAAAAATTTTTTCTTTTTCTTTTTATTTTATTTTTTATTTATTTTTGTGTTTCTTTTTCTTTTTTCTTTTTTGTTTTTTACAAACATCACCTTGAAAATAAACTCATTGTATAGTCAACTCATAAACGTAGTTTTGCAGATGTAACAAATATGAATTACAATTTATGATCTTGTACGTTCGAACGGTGAGGAAAAAAAAGAAAAAGAAAAAAAAATTTGTCGATTAGATCGAACGCTCATTCATTCAAGAATCAATCCTATCGAAGGCTAATTTATAAACAAAGTTTAGGCGATATAATAACTGTATATATATATATATATATATATATATATATATATATATATATATCTTTGGACGCCTCTCTAAATTCTAAAGAAGTCAATCGAATGAAACCATCGTCTTACGTTCACGTTCTCCACGATTACCAGATCCGGCAACCTTGATCCGCATTCGTGAATATCCTATAAGGATTTCTTTCTTTCCAACAACTTCCAAGACAGTTGATATTCTCGAATAATACTATTAATCCATTAACTTAATACTTGAATATTAAAACTAATAAAATTATTAAAAATTTTATAGATCTTTGTTATTCAATGTATTCTCGATTTATATCGAAGAAAATTCTACAGATTTTCTAGAACGTTATAAGAATTCACGATTAAAACAGAAATATAAAGTTAAATTTAATCGTATAAATAAATTATTCAGGAATCATTTTTTATATAATCTTTGACATTTATAAATCAAAAGGATTAATTCCTCTTCATCAACTTCTTCCTCAAAAGATAAAAGAAGATGTATTCGTATGTTAAATAGAAACGATACTAAAACTGATCACATATAAATATAATCAATTACGTGATCGCGTTAAGTTAAGATCGAAACAAAGATCTATGTCTGTCTTATACTACTCGTTACTTCTCTCATAATTCTTTTTATCTTTTCTTTTATCTCATAATTCTACTTACGTATATTTACTTTTTTGCATATCAAAGAGCTTTTACATTCTTTCGTATACGTCATCGCAAAGAAAATTACAAGTCCAAGTACGAAATTAAATGAGATATTGTACATGTTTCTAACGTGTTGTAATTTTTTTTTCTTATTCCTTTCTCTCTCTCTCTCTCTCTCTCTCTCTCTCTCTCTGTCTCTCTCTTTCTCTTAATAATCATCTCATCTTAATAATTTCTTTAAACAACGTTTGATGTTTACGTTGAGTACAATCAAACTACTATTAGTACTACTATTATGTATACTTTATAATATTTTTTAATGATCACGTTTATCACGTTGGATTAAAGTTCCTTTGAGAAATTTTAATATATATATATATATACACATATATATACAAATGTTATTAGGATCATTAGGATCATGAAGAAAAAAATATCGTTTCTTTTTCCCTGTTAATAAATTATACCTGATTCGATGTCTACGTTGACTGCAATAAAAGTACTGCTGACAGATCACAGGATCGTGGTTCATTCTTAACACATGTCACGATGTCTTTAATGTCAATGACCCTTGTCTACCGCAATCTCTATCAATCCTTTTCTTATTATCTTCTCTCATAGATATCTTCTCTCGAAACTGTTTTTTCTTTATTCTTTTTTTCTTTTTCTTTCTTTTTCTTTTCTTCTTTTAAGTTTTCATCGTAGATGAACAATCGGATGAGATGTGATGAGATGGGATGGAATGGGATGGGATGGGATGGGATGGGATATGGTAGTTCAAAACGTTCGAAATAAACCGTTCCTTTTTCCTCGTCGTTCCACGAAGTCGATTTTAACGAGACACGAGACACAAGATGACAACAATCGAATTTCGAAATCGCTTGTTTCCTCCGAGTTATACTTTCGAAAGAGAGTCACTTTTGCAGCTTCGTTTGTCTCCCAGTCTTCTATTGTCTTTTCGAATACGAAGTAACCAACACATGTTGGTTCATTGTTGCACCCACACCCATCGCCATTCCTTTAGTATCTTTATTTTGCGCACGCACTTTTTTCCTTTTTTTTTTTCTCCCCTTTTTTTCTTTCTTTTCCTTCTCTCTCCCTCCCTCCCACTCTTCTCTCTCTCTCTCTCTCTCTCTCTCTCTCTTTCTCTCTATGTAATTTTTCTCTTGGCAAATACCAACTCACAGTTCTACTCTCTTGTGATGTTCGATACAAACTGAAGGACTCTTATTCTTCCGACGTAAATGTAAACAAGAAAATCGTAAGAGTGACACGAATAATCAGAATAATCACGCTCATGTGATATTTTTTTTGACGCACATACACACGTACACGTAACTCACAACAGACGTTAATTACAGGTTTAACAAATGAATAAAATAACGAAAAAAAAGACGATCGATCATAATTCACGTTATTGCTGAAAAAGAAAAGAAAAAAAAAAAAAAAAAAAAAAAAAAAAGAAAGAAAAAAGAAGAAGAAAAAGAAGAAGAGAAAAAAAGTAGATAAATCTTGTTTTTTTTTTTTTCTTTTCGATTAAAAAGGAAATGAAAAAGATAAAAATCCGATTGAATTATCTTTTACGAAATGAGTTTTCCTTATCTGCGAAGAGTTTCTTCAAATCGCGTGAAACGCTTTGAGTTTCTTCCTTTAGTCGAATAGAACGTTGGAAGTAGAAAGCACGTGGCTGGTCGATGTCGCGATCGATTTTGCGGTCGACTCGAGGCGACGAGCAAGACGACGATCGGTGTGGCAAGAGAACGAGTCGAACCAGATAGCCACCAATGAAGAAACTTCACTATTAGAAATATATATCCTAGTATATATTCGTGTATCCGTCTGCTCAGTGTCTATGTATGTATGTAAGTATATATATATATATATATGTATGTATGTTGCTTTAAGGCTCGATCCTTGAAAATATTCCTTCCTCGCTTATTAGACCCGTCACGAGAAGCTACACCTCGCACTTAATTCTTCTGCAATGCAGGACTCTAAAATTACCCCTTTTCCTCTAGAGGATCGTTATCACTGCTCCGATTCCTTTCACAATTTCAAATAAGAAAACTCTCTTCTTCGTGACTTGCAATACATTTTATTCTTCTATTCGCATCGAAGAAAAATGATTGTATTCATCGGTAAGATATGTGTCTATAGTTAAGTGAGCATACGCATCCCTTTCTATTAAAGTAAAGAGTGAAGTAAAGTAAAAAATGTGTCAAGATCAGCAAGAAGAGAACGAAGATATATGTAAATATATATATATTCCTCCTTTACGCAATGTTTTCTTTATCAATCGTGTATACGCATTCGTACATACGCATATAATTAAACAATTAATTCTTGCGTAAATTCGACGAAAATCTTCGTCTAAAATGTCATCCACAATTCACAATCTTTACGTTTTCTTCGCTTCATTTGTATAACTCGTTTTCTTTGTTACTCGAGTATTAGCCGATTTCGAAATCGATCTTCTTATTTTTTTTTTTTTCTTTTTTTTTATTGAAAAGTATCTACGTGAAATATTATATATCTATCCGTACAGAACAACGGAGAAAACCTTCGAATTAGTTTGATGAAAGTCTTGGCAACATTAAAGTGAAGGGGTCTCGTACGATTTAATATCAAACTCTGTGAGAAGTTCTTTTTTCGTGACAATCTTTTTTTCCTTTATTTTTGTTTTCTTTTTCTCCTTTTTTATTTTTTTATTTTTTATTTTTTTTTTATTTTTTTTTTTTTTTTTTGTTAAATAACCTTTTACAAGAAAACAACCGTACGCGATTTTTAACTTTGTCAAAAACAACTCCGACTACGATGAGTTGTGTTCGAGCGAACCTTGAAGACTCCCGATCGTTGATGCCAGCCACGGCTTGGTATACCGCATATTTCTCTCTCTCTCTCTCTCTCTCTTTCTCTCCCTCTCCCTGTCCTTGTTTCTCTTTGTCTCTTTTCCCTCTCTTCCTCTTTTTCTATCTACCTCTACAATCTACATCATATAGCGTACCATCGTGTATGAACGTTGTGCATAACTGTACACCGCTACATCACGCGATTCAAGTACATTTCGATTCGAACACGTGCGTTATCACGTGTGTCCATGCGTGATAATTCTGTAAAGAAACGAAAGAAAAAAAAGGAAATATTAATAAACTGGACGATCGTCCAATTCGAGATTTGTAGAAATTCATTCTTTGATCTATTTTTTTCTTTTTTTTTCTTCTTCTTTTTTAAATTATAAAATCGACTAAGTTTCATTAATGACGACCAAGCAAAACTAATTATCTTCTTTATCTTATATATATATATATATATATATATATATATATGTGTGTGTGTGTGTGTGTGTTAATAAATTCAACGAATGTATAATATAAGAAAAAAAAAATTAGGAGAAAGGATAATTACTTTGGCTTAAATTAAAGATAATAAACGCATTAAGAAAATTAATAATAATTCTATACGAAGAATTTCTCTCGAAAGGGTTTTCCTTCTTAAATCAGATAAAATAATTTTTTTTTTGGCAAATGAATTGAATCATTCTTATTTTGCAATAGTTTGAATAGTTATTTCACCATTCTAGAAAATAACGTCGTTTAGGAAGAATACAAGGTAATTCATCACAAGGATAGCTCATGATACTGAAAGAGTCTATGCGAAGGTTACATTTAATTGATCGTTTCTCACATTGACCATGTGTTACTATATCGATCACGAATGTATATATATATATATATATATATATATATATATATATTATCGTGGCAGTAATTATAAAAATGGTACAAGATCAGGACAGGTTTTAAAAATAATTGGATTCATCACTTATTTGGAATTATATCGATCTACGTAATGATATCCATGGAATTATTACAAATATATATAGGTATATACTTATATTGAATGAATCATATAAAACTGAAAATGTGAATATCATGGTTATATCTCCGGATAAAAATATACATTTCAGCGTAAAGATAAATCAAGGTAAATTTAAAAGGTTTTAAATAATTTCAGTTGTGATTACTGTAAAAGAAAATTATTTATATATATATATATAATTTGGGGATATTATCATAACAATCAGCTGATATAGACATCGAACTAAACAAAATCCTTAAATAATATCATAGTAGAATCTTTCCTTGGAGTTCAGTCTAGTGTAATGCAGCGAAAAAAAAAATATATATATATATAGAAAGAGAGAGAAAAAAAATCGAAGGCAAGCAAGAAGCAGAAAAAAAAAGGATAAAAAGAGAGCCACGTAATGTTTTATTCAAAGTCATGACTAAGAACAGAAATTTAAGGGTTGTGAATTCGTGTCGGCGGTCACGTTTGCACTAGCTTACTAAGAAACACGTATACTCGTACATACACACACGCATGCACGTAGAGGTTTTGTTAAATATCATATAAATTTTTTAATTCCTTTAATCTCGATTAGTCGAGAAACATTTAAAAAAATTTCTTTCCTCCTTTTTCCTTGAGTACGTGCAAACGACACGTATCATCGTCTGATTTTCTCGAGAGTATCCGTTTAGCTCGCGGGAAGGACACTTCTTATGTTTTGCAACTATAAGAAATAATGGTAGCTTAATACCTAACATTCGATTAAAAAAAAGAAACGCGAGATAGAAAGAGAGAGATAGAGAGAGAGAGAGAGAGAGAGAGAGAGAGAGAGAGAGAGAGAGAGAGAGAGAGAGAGAGAGAGAGAGAGATAAAAATAAAAATCTATGCAGAATCTTCGTGATTAATCTTCCATGTGATTATGAAAATGATGTAATCAAATAAAGTTGCAGATAAATATTTCATCTCAAAATTTCTTATTCGATTTTTTTTATCCAATTCGCAGATTACTTGTCCTCGAAGCAATATGTAAAGAAAAAAAAAGAAAAAAAAGAAAAGAAAGAAAAAAAAAGATCTTAAAAACGTTTTCAAACCATAAAATTACATGCCGATCTTTCGATGATAAAACGTCTTAAAAATTAGTATCGATTCTGTATAATACTAAATAAAATAATATAGATATAATTATAAATTACTTAATCGAGAGAAAATAAATAAAGCTAAGATTATATACATATATTTATATATAAAGAGAGAGAGAGAGAGACGAGATTCGATCTGTTACGATGTTCTCTCTACGATGACTTGGTTGCTACTAATGCGAAATAAAAAATAAAATTAAATTAATCTGCAGTAAGAAGAAAGGAGAAATAAAAGAGAACGGGGTCATGTTCCCCTCCGCTATGATTCCCGTAAGTCGTTGTTTATCTCTTAATATTCTTCACTATTTCACGTTAGTATATATATCTCTCCTTAAGTCATCGATAATCATGAACACCGAGTAAATTGCGATTTCTCTCTCTATCTTGAAATACACCAGTTGAAGTAGAGAACAAATATTTGATAATTTGATATCGTGAAACTTTATTAAGAACATTTTCAAAAATACCGTTCGATCGAACTATAAATTCTCAAAGAGAAAGAGAGAGAGAATTTCTCTTTTTGAAACTATCCAAAGAGATTTAAATAAATATTATTCGAAGAAATTTAATTAAAATAAATCTTTTAGAATCTCTTTCTCTCTCTCTCGCTCTCTCTCTCTCTCTCTGTCTCTTTCTCTCTCTCTTTTTCGAATTTTCAAAGCGATGATTTTATTATTTTCTCATTTAAACGAAATGATCGGTGCAGCAGTACTGCAGCTAATGTATCAGGATAGCAGATAGAAGCTGGAGGCGAACGAGGTTTGCCGCCTGATGCAACCAATGCACCGGTGCAAGTGCATCGCGAACTTTATTTATAGACTCTCTACGCGCGACTCGCTCGATTCCCTTTGTGTCCGAAAACGTACGGGTGAAAAAAATAAAAGAGAAGAGCTGGTACTAACTAACTGTATCGATCGCCAAGCTAATTGTATTTTTTACTTGATCAGAGGTAGATATGAACGAGGAAAATGAAAATGTATATTTTTAAATCGATTTTTGATTGAAGAAATTTCATTTGAAAATATTTTCCGACCGATGCAATATGTTCTGCAATTCTTTTTTTTTTTCTTTTATTTTTTTTTCTTTTTAGTATCACGAAGGAAAATATTTCGTAATTAAAAAGAAGAAGAAGGAAAAAAGAACTATGATCTTTCAAGTATGTGATCGAACACTAGTAATAAAAAAAAAAAAAAAAAAAAAAGATTGATGAAAGAAAAATATTTTAATCGCAAGAAGAAAGAATAAATATAATTATAACAAATTAAGTACCTTCTCAAGGATGTGAAGTACCGTAGATATCATCCTACGAAATCATTTGCTCTATGACGACGAATAACGAACTGTCAACGGTAAGCCAAGGAATCCGTTATGCACTAACAGTTGCTAGACACGAATCTACCAAGTTATTGTACAAAGGTCATAATTTAAATTTAATCTTTCTTTTCTTTTTTCTTTTTAATTTAATTTTTAATGTTTTTAACGTCTAAATGTCTTCATTATTATTTATATGAATTTAAATCCAGTCAAGATCAAATCTCAATGTCCTTGTTTAAAGATAAATCATTGAACAATCCTTTCGTAACACTATAATAAAATTTGCTTATTCGTGCATAAATCCTATGTAATTGATATACCGTATAATTTCATTTTACATATACATCATTGTATAGAAATCTGAGTGGCCGAAGGTGACACGATGATCATTTAGTTATTGTTTTTTAATCGTCAGCACGTAGTATTGTAAACCAAGATAACGATGTTATGTTAATGAGAATGCGAAAGATAGAAAAAGAGAGAAAAAGAGTGAGAGAGAGAGAGAGAGAGAGAGAGAGAAAGAGAGACTATATGTAATTCATGTAACACGATAATTATGAGAA